CACAACTTGAGACGAAGCCCTATGTGCAACACCGCTCGCAACGGGGGGGGGGGGGGGGGTGCCCTGCCATGAAAGCCGGGCTACCCAGCTGCCAAGCTCCCAAAAGCCTCCTCAACCCTGAGCCCAGCCCTCACCAAGCCTCTGAAGCCAAAAATCGCAGGCCACCCCAAACAATGCAACTCCCCCGGGACCAGCTCGGCCAGGTCGCCATCAGTGCCATTGCGGTGCAGGAGCTCGCCACCGGGCAGGCGACGGCTGTGAATCGTTCTGCTCGAAAACTCTTGTCGAAACGCCGAGATGGGGTGGCTTTAGGGACGACCAAGGCAAGAGCATGTGAGCGGGTGTAGGCAAAGGTCGAAGCGCTTAGCGACATCCGAGGGCTCTTTCTTTGTGCGGACAGATCGTGGCAACTTCCAAAGATGCTGAAGGTCTTGAGGATCAAAGCCCCCATGAACTCTGAGCCCTAAGAGAACAGCTGAAGTTTGTCCGGCCTCGTTTGTGGGCAGGGTGGAGCGTCTTTGGAGGGCGGACACATATGTTCCATGCAGCAGGTGTCTTCATGTCTAGACCCGCGTAAGCCAATGTTCAATGCTGTTCCGACCTTAAGGGGAGCCGTGCTGATCTCGGGCATGATAGGCACCTGGTGAAAACGGAAGCGCCCAGACTGTCCCTGTCCAGGCCACCGTGGACATCATGCCCTTCCTCTTTGCGAAGTGAGCCAATGACGTAGGAGGGCCCCGAGGGGGCCTTGCCGACATCCCTATCCAAGGGAAAGTAGACTGCGGAAGTCTACATTTCAGGACGCTGCTGGGTGACCACGTCCAAGTTGATGTTGAGCTGGTTCAGGTTTTTTCATGAGATTGGTGACTGCGTAGATCAAATTTGCTGTAGCCCTGAAGCTCTACACTCGACATGTACGAGTTCAGAGGACTCAGATGCTTCAGGCCTCCGACGGACCTCCTTACCACAAACAAGAGCTCGGCAATCCTTCATGTGTATTACGTGAGTGGAGGTGCCGGACTCTGGGCTCCCTAGGTACACCGCCTGAAATAGTCTTTGGAACCGTGCTGGCCACCTAAAGCAGCAGATCCATTTCAATTTCTTACGTGTGCCTTTCAGTCGAGCAGCCACATCTCGCGTGCATTCCCTGCTAAGTTTCGGTTACTAAGCTTCCCGACTCCTGGCGAACCCTAAACACCCCCTAGCAGCCCTGTAGACTAAGAACCCGAAGGTTGAGGTACTGAACCCCCCCCCCAACCCTCACGTCTGCGCTAGTCCTTCTTGAACACGGCATGATGGGGCACTTCAAATGGTAGAGAAAGGGTGCTGCAGATGCGACCTCGACGGCCAAACAGGCCGGCAGGGAATCTACATCCCCAACCCTGAATCCTACTAGCGACCGTGTTACTGCGTACAAGCTCATGGGCGCTCCGAGCCGTAGCCAAGCTGTATAATGGCACTTCCCAGCTGCACAAGGTGCACCAGAGGCGTTCGGCAAGGGCTTTTCAGGTTCAGAGTTTTGGCGGGCTGTAGTGCGAGAGTCCGCCAGGTTTTCAGCATGAGAGAGAATCGTGTCTTGCAACCGCTCCTTGGTTCCCAACCGAGCAACCGAGCAAGTAGGAGGCGCGTAGGTTCTAAGAAGCTCCTAACCTTCCCTGATCCTTGGCGAGTCCCCAAGTATTGCAGAGCTGCACCCTGAACGCTCGACGAACCCAGGGTCCAGGTCCTAAACCCTAAACCCTAAACCCTAAACCCTTAAACCCCTAAACCCCTAAACCCCTAAACCCCTAAACCCCTAAACCCCTAAACCCTAAACATCCCTAAACCCCTAAACCCCTAAACCCTAAACATCCCTAAACCCCTAAACCATAAACTCCACCGGAACCGCAACTCGGAGCCCTGGAGTCCACGGCATGGAGAGTCGGGAAGGAAGCCGCCGCTCCCTGCCCAAGCGCTAGACCCTCTGAACCTTCCAGGGCTTAGGGTTCAGGGTTTAGGGTGAACCCTGAATCCATGAGGTTATCAGCCCTAAAAGCCCCCATCGACCCTTGTCAGGGTTTAGGGTCTGGATTCGATGGCACCGGGGTCCTGAACGCTAAGCAAAGCCTGCAACTTCTACACCTTGATGCTGGACTTTAATTTCTTTAAGCTCCATGAGCCCAGATCCCGATCTAGCCCTATTAGACCATATACGTTTTAAATGGTGCTGGGGCAAGGCCCTCAGTTGGTGGAACCCTTTGATACCCTCCCGTGTTCCTGGCGCCCCCCCCCCCAAGTTCTAAACCCTGCTCCCCAAGCCCTACAAGCCTTAACCCTAAGCCCTGGGCAACTTCGGCTCCCTTCCCGGCAGTCTGCGCATTCCCTTTTTAAAGCCGTGTGTAGTCCAACGGCGGGACCTGGACATGCGATGTGGGGCAAAGCCAGGGGAGCTACCTGAAAGTCGTAGGGTAGCAGGGCTTTGGGACTGCTAGGGTAGATGCAGGAGCTCTGCACTTCTTAGGGATTCCAAGACAGCTTGCAAATTATTTGCTGCTGCTCCTGGCAAGCCACACTAGTATCAAGACCTGTGTAGGGTCCGCATTCAGCAGAAGAGCTGTGAGCAGAAGTCCGCAGCAAGTTCCGCCGGCAGACGTCAAGCTGCTGGGATTGGTTCTTTTGGGAGGCAGTGTGCAGACGAGATCCGTGTCTGCTACCCTACTCTACCCTACTCATGCCCAAAAAAGAGAAAGACAACACGTTAAACGAGCAGAAGATGTTGCCTCCGCACATGTGCTGCTTGCAGGTCCTTGTCTTGTCTCCCTTCACTTCGCCACCGTAGTCCGTGCACTCGAAAACTGTACAGCTTCTTGGTTTTTTGTTGAAAGCAGCTCCCCTTCCCCCCCAACCCTCAACATATGCCCACTGCCATTCTGCACGCTTCCTATCGTCGGCCGCAGAGTATCGTCGGTCTGCAGAGCGGCTCGTGCCCGAGGGGGCTTGCACCCCGGGCAGCTTTCCTGCCAGCTTGGCACCCTATAAATCCTCAACCCCCCAAAATGAAGCAACGCAACCCTGGATGAAAGTTCCAGTCAACTTGAGGCATAGTTACGGCTGTGGTCGATTTGGTTATGGGGTGTGGTTTATTCTGGAAGTTTAAGGCATTGGGGTTTGAATGTCACAGCCTTCCCTGATCCTGGAAACTTGACTAGGGTTGGCAGCCTTAGATTTCTTACTCTCGCCCATCCGCAAGAGACTCCGAAATCTAGGCAAGATCCTTGGGATGTCTTGATTTTTCCTGTCTTGGGGATTATCTAGGGTCTTCTTCGGCATTAACCTGGTCACCCCATCTGAGAACACCAGTTCAGCCAACATCCCCCCAGCCGCTCCGCGGAATCCTTCATGTGGACGGCCAGTTTTCCGAACATGTCACGGGGCTTTAGAGCTCAATAGTGGACCGTAGCGAGTACAGGGTACTTGACAGCCCCAGTGAAGGGCCCATGATGTTGATCAGACCCCATGTAGGAGGCGTGCAGACTTGCGGTGGGCATTGGGGGAGTCCAGCTGTACGACCCCAAACCCCTAACCCCAAACCCTAAACCAAAACCAAGCTGTAGTGCAGGTAAACCCCAAACTTCCTAAGACCTGAAACCAAAACCTCTCCAGGTGTCGACTTTTTTGTTCTTTTTTTTCGCATTTCGAAGTTGCGGTGTGGGCGGTGGTGGGTGTATGTTCCAGGGGATCGACTTTGGGAACAGGCAGATATGGTATATACTCTAAACAAGGCTCAACTATGGAGTCAGAGCCTGTGTGTTTGGGGTATAAGGGTCTTGGGTTTGTGGATTTAGGGCGTTGAGGGTGGAGGGCTGTATACGGCTCACATGAAGGCTTCGGGGTTTAAGATTTAGCTTTCAGGGTTTGGGTTGGAATTCACCGAAGGGGGTTTAGGTTCTTAGAGTTAAGGTCATTTACTGTGCTAAGGTTTGGGGGATGTAGGGTTCAGGGTTTAGGGTTTACATTTAGGGTTGTAAGGGTTGAGGGTTTTGGGCCGCTATGGTTCAAGGGTTCAGCAAGCATGTAGGGGAAGGGTTCGGAGTTTCGGTTCCACCTCAACAGAAGCCCTGAACCCCGGAAGCGTATGAAGCCCCCTTGACTCCCCAAACCCCAAACCCAAAGCCCTCAACCCTAAACCGACAAGGTCACCCCTTGTGCACACCACCAATTCGACAGCTCCCGTTTGGAGCCCTGGTTCCTAAGGCAACGAGGCCCCCTTACGTCATTCTCATCACTTCTGCTCTCTGATGCCCGGTAGTTCCCTTATGATTCCCTTTTTTGAAAGCGTTGGGTTCCCTCATAAATCCCAAATGAGGCTTTAGGCTATCACTTAGCATTCGCGGTTCGAGGCCGCAAACCTACTGGCTCGGGGCTGAGGTTTAGCAGGCTCATGTAGGCCGACACGCGGCTAAGCGTTACCGACCGGTTTATGCGGCTTGGCTTTGCAGCAAAACTTCAACTAGAAGATTCAGGTCAAAGCGACATTTACAATCAGGAATGAATACCAAAATCCTTGAACCCCATATGACATGGGCTCTGCACCTCGGCACCACGGGCCCCGGCGTGGCTGAGAGGGCATTTGGTTGACCCTCTTTCGCCAGCGGAGAATCAGCGGAAGCTCCGCCAAAGTCTTGGTCCGATTGTGCGTAAAACAACTCAAACTCTTGGTTGCATTGAGTGCAGGGCCAGTTTAGGGTTTCGGTTTCTTTGTTTAGGGTTTAAGGACCGGGGTTTAGAGATTTCTGTTCTCATGGACCTAGGAGTCTAGGATGTGGTCGCTTGTCAACAGCTTCATGGGCCTGCATGGATCTGTGATTCTCTGCACCATGCCGCATGTGAATGGGTTGCTGTCATGATCATCATAGTTCTTGTCCTCTTCCCATAGTCTTCATCGCCAGCAGCGGCAGAGCTTTGAGGGAGACGGGGCAGCGCTTCTCCCATACACGGTTTCTGGCAGGTATCTCAGCGAGATGGAGACCGGACAGCGCTTCTCCCTGCCGCCCGAGAAGCCTGAGGAGCCCCGACAAGCTAGTACAAGTCTATTTTTTTAAGGCCCCAAAGCCCTGAGAGGTTGGAGTTTAAGGGGCCTGGAGTGGGTTGCAGGCTGTTGTCATGAGGTTGTGCTGCGCCCGATGCTTTTCCAGGAAGTCGTTGGGTGCACAGCTTTGGGGTCTTGAGATGGGGGAACAGGTTTCTTTGGACACCAGCCTGTCATTGAAGGGCCTCAGCAAAGCACGTTTAGGGCAGAAGGTTTCTCTGGATACTCGAACCAGGAGTTCACCTACCCTTATGCCTCTCCTTTGGATGAGCTCCGAGCGGCGGACAAGGTGGGGGGCACTAGTTTCAGACGATTGGTTCTCGGTGTCAGACCACCATTGACTTTAATTTTAACGCTACGCGACCCGCCTCGGCCCGGCCCAGCGCATCCGCGTGAGCATGGTGATTCCGCAGCGCCCAAGTCGCTGGACCCCAAGCAATAAGGGTTGGGTTGAGGGTTGAGGGTTGAGGGTTGAGGGTTGAGGGTTGAGGGTTGAGGGTTGAGGGTTGAGGGTTCCGGGTTTATGGTTTATGGTTTGGGGTTTGGGGTTGAGGGTTAGTTTAGGGCTCAAGGTTCACGCTTTGGGGTTGAGGGTTTTTTTTGGGTTTAGGGTTCGGCTTGGAGGGATCTGGAGTGATTGTAGGGTGGAGCCAGGCCCCTTAAGGTTTAAGGCGACTCTTCGGCAGGGGGAGGGGGGGGGGTAGGGGGGGGGGGGGAGGGGGGGGGGGGGGGGGGGGAGGGGGGGGGGGGGGAGGGGGGGGGGAGGGGGGGGGGAGGGGGGGGGGGGGGGGGGGGGGGGGGGGGAGGGGGGGGGGGGAGGGGGGGGGCCCTGCTGGGAGGGGCTTCAACCTCCGGTCCTGGCGAACCGTCCGCTTGCGGACCCCGGTTTCCCAGGAGGGGTACCCATTTGAGGCCCAAAAAAGGGGGTGGGGGAGGATCTGGAGGTGCCTGTTCTGACAACCTATACACCTCCGGCCCGAGGCCTCGGCGGATTTTATCATATTAATAGGAGTACACGATGACATGTAGCCCAAACATAATGGTTCGGCATCCAGACTTTATGCCTTCGATCGGAGAGAGAAAGGAGAACGCATGTGCGAGTGAATGAGCACTTGCTGCCCAACTGTCGTGCGTGAGAAGCGCCAGTTTGGGACAGAGCTCCCTCAAACGGGCCAGAAGCTGATAGACCCCTCAAACTAAACCTTGAATCCCAAGCCCCAAAATCGACCGAAGGTGCAAGAGGTCACGGAAGAGGACGAGAAGAAGGCTGGAGGAATGAAGGGGCAGCAGGGCTGGCTTCGGTGCAGTTTAGGGTTCGATTGAGGGTTGCCCCTGCTGCTACAGCCACGCGTACATAAGATGCCGTACATCAGCATCCCCAACGCGAACTTAACGAACACCTTAGTGGATTATACCTACTGCTTGAGGTGAAAATGACTGCCAAGTTGTAGCTAAACAGAGTTACAGGCAGGCGCCCCGGCACGCGAATCACAGACTTTTCCTCTCGAAGGTGGTCGAAGAGGAGGCGAAGCCCTCGCGCGGCCGGCGTGAGAAGAAGGCGCGCTCAGGAAATTGCTCAGAACACTGTAGGCCCTAAACCTTTCTAGCTTACACAACTTGATGGTCAGTTCTTTTGACTAAAAGTGCACCTTTTCGCATTACTAAAGATATCCACACGTGCAGTAGAGAACACGCCATGTAGTTTTCGAGCGGCGGCGCGCAGGGCTTTTCGAGATTGGGGGATCCTAGGGTCCACGGCTCAGGGGCCCTGATTTTCTTGCATCTCAAGTATGCAGTGGCTTTGCGCCCTGCGAACAAAAGCCCTGGCCACCCCAAAATTCCCGAAAGCCCTGACCCGAAACCCGAAACCCTATAAACCCTGGCACCCCCAACAGGTGAGCTGGCCGCCCCTGAGCGAGGCTATGGAGGCGCGTCGGAACTTAAAGGGAGTTGCCGTGCTGGCGAGACCACACATGTTGGGTAGCTCAGCTTAAGCCTTAAGCAGCAAACAGTTTCGGACTTAGGGTGCGGGGTGCAGGATGAAATTCGGGTTTGATGGAGGTTAAGTACTCTTCCGGGTACCGATGCCAGGGCCGCTCGGACCCAAGCCCAGAAGGCCCTTCCTTCGAAGCTCAAAAATCATTCGAAGCTGATAATCCTTTAAAGTCTATAAACCTTAAACTTAAACCCCCGACCTCCTAAGTCCCAAACCCCTAAACGCCCTAAAACACTAAGCCCCAAAACCCAAGCCCCAAAGCCCCACCAACCAGGGCGTGGAGGTGGTGCTCCTGGCAGGCGACCTCAAAGAGGCCGAAGGGCAGGGAGAGGGGGGGGGGGGGGCTTCATGGTTTAGGGTGTTTAGGCTTCCAGGTTGTGGAGGTTCTGGGGAACTTTGTGAGGTCGGGGCGCACTAGGGGCTTTGGGGGGCTGTTTAAGGCTTCGGCTTGGGCCACTGGTGCAGCGTATGCGCTACGCCGGGCATGTTAAGTTCAGCGCAGCTGCCATTTTGAAAGTCCACACCTCTGCAGCTGAAAGCTCACGGAGCCTTCATGAGGCACTGATGGCTGACGGTAGGGCATGCATTCGCGTGTGGCACTTCTCGTGCAGTAGTTCCGGTGCAAGCCCGAAAGCACTTGACAAACCATGACATACCACACAGCCGCAAGACAAGCTGTTCGCCTGGCAACCCTAAACCCTAAACCATCAGCCCCTTAAGAGCCACCGGGTAGCTTGTGAGAGCTGAGCGAGTCTTCGGCCCCTTTAGCCCACAAGCCTGGACCCAGTGGACCTGGCCACTGGATGAAGTCTCCTTCCCCACCACCCCCCCCCCCCCGCCTCACCTGACTTCGGGTTTAGGGTTTAGGATTTAGGGTTTGGGGTTTAGGGTTTAGGGTTTGGGGTTAATACCAAGACAGAGGTCCTGCCGCACCACAGTCGGGTGAGTGCAGGGTGTTGGGATCTCCCATTGCCATGATCTCTCTACGCTGCATCAAGAACTCGCAGCCTCGCCTCACAAACCTAAGTTCTCCACCCTGAATCCCTAAAGCGCCGAAGGCACGTCACTTTGAGCCGAGGTCCTGAAAAAGCCCAAGTACAAGGGGCTTTTCCACCGCGCATTCGTAGGCCACCCTGCTGGGAGTCTTAACTTGGAGAGTTGGGTTTAAGGTTTACAGGGTATAGGGTTTAGGGTCTAAGGTTGTGTCAGGGTTTAACCGTCCGGGACACTAGAGCTTGCAGGGTTTTGGCAGTTAGCAGATAAGGCAGCACCGAGTCCTTGAAAATCCGCAAGCCAAACGCAACCCTAAGCCCTAGACAGCCCAAGAAACCCAAACCTAGCCCAATATCCACAAACTTAGCAAAGCCCAACCTTCCTAAACCTCAAGTTCGCACGCACAGACCTAAGCCCCAAACCCCGAAAATGTGCCATAGAGACATCTCTGGGAAATCGCGCTTCAGGTGCCATGGGCTGCATGCCGCTCTTTGAGGACCTGATGGCCTGAAGTTTTGGGTTTAGGTTGAGGGTTGACATGAAGTCGCTTCCCTTTGGATCCTAACCTCGAACATGTTTTCGGGCCAAGTCTACCAGTATATCTTTGAGGATGTACATGTTGTGATGAGTAGGGGTGCAGACCTGGGCAGATGAAAGGTCATCAGTGGTGTGCGTAGAGTCAACCCGAAACCTCAAGCCCGAAACCTCAAGCCCCTCAAGTCTTCACAGCCCAATTGCCTAAGCGGAGCCCGAAAAATGGCGAGTGTTTAGGGCTCGGGGGCTGGATGGGTTCATGGTCCACATTTGTATCGGATCCCAGATTTAGGGACACATGGTCCCGAAGGAAGGCCCTCATTTTTGATGGCAAGAAACACGCCATGGAGACCCCTCATTTCTGAAAAGTGCAGTTGAGTTGCGAAGGGTTGGAGTACGGTACTAGTTAATTTCTACAGTTGGGCCTTCGGCAAAGCCCGCCGTGTGAAGAGCGCAGGGCCCTGCCCTACTGTCAGTTGGTGCAGACGTTGTCTCTCGTTCCGCGGATGGTGTTTTGGGCTTTCTGTGTCTCTTAAAGCCCTTAAAGCTCAAACCCCTAAAGCCCTAAACACCCTGAACCCCAAAATTCATATGGGCATCTCCCCAGAGAGGGGTACCACGAAAGGAAAATATGTACCCGCCCAACATAGCAGGATCTCGGCGAAATCAGTACCCCTCCCTAAATACCCTAAACCCTATAAGCCCTAAACGGCCCTAAACCCTAAACCCTAAACCCTATGTAAGGCCCAGAATCCCAAGCTGCAGCCCAGAGGAGATGGGCATCACCGCGGGCGCGGGCGGCCGGGTGCCCGGCGACTTCGCCAAGAAGCGTGAGGCTGCCCGGCGGGTTTGGGGGTTCATGGGGTTGCGGTTTAGGGTTTTTGGGTTTTTGGGTTTTAGGGTTTTAGGGTTTTGGGGTTTTAGGGTTTTAGGGTTTTAGGGTTTTAGGGTTTTAGGGTTTAGGGTTTAGGGTTGAAGGTTTTAGGTTATTCTGGTATAGGGTATTACAGGGGTTATGAGGGCATTGTAAAGGGTATGAGGTATTGGGGTTGTTGGGTGCTAGGGTGGTAGCCGCAGTCTTCTGGGCAAAGCTGGATGCAACCTCAAAAATACCAAACTCCCTAGAAGCCCCATGCAAAGCTTCAGGGGTTCGATCCAAAGCCCTTAGAAACCTTGAACCCCTCATCCAAACCCTGCACCCTAAACCTTGATCCCGCAACAAGCCCTGAACGCCCCAAAAGCCCTTCTCCTTCAGCCCCGAAGTTCGCTCAACCACAAACCCCCCTAGGGAGGTTTAAGGGTTGATTGAGTCTGTATGGGTAGCTTCCTAAGCCCTAAGCCTTAGGGCTTAGGAAACTACCCATACAGACTCAATCAACCCTTAAACCGCCCTAAGCCCCGTGACTAAGCCCCAAGCCCTAAACCCTAAACCCTCTACACCCTAAGCACGAGCCGCAGGAGTCTGGCATTGCCGCCTCCCTGGCGACGGCCCCGACTCCGGGTTGCTCTGAAGGGTTTCGGTTTAGGGTTTAGGGTTAGGGTTTGGGGTTCAAAGTTTAGGGTTTCTTTGGTTTAGGGTTTAGGGTTTCGGTTTAGGGTGTTTAAAGTTTAGATTAGGGTCTAATGATCATACGGTGTGTGTGTGTGTGTGTGTGTGTGTGTGTGTGTGTGTGTGTGTGGAGACAGGCCACCTTTTGCAGGTCCCTTTCGTTAGGGGGGCCCATGACTCTTAAGGCACATAGAGGACCTCCGTAGCAGAATAGCACCGCAAACCTGCGAAATAGAATAGGATCCCCCGCCCAAACGCCAGACACTGAAGCCAGAAGGGAACCCGAAGCCCTAAGCTCTAAACCATTCATGGTCCGCACGCAGATCCACACGGGGCGACATCCGAACTTCCGGCGTGTGTCTACACGCGTAGGACATTCAGCATCTCTGGATCCGATGGGGAGTAGAGCATTTTGGGCTTTTGGGTTTGGGGCTTAGAGTTCGGGGTCTGGGGGTCTCGTCTTCATGTGGCAAGCAGTTCGCTGCTCGCGGCCACTCAATCGGGGATTACGGGCCTCGAGCCCCCAAAAATCCGAAAGGCATCGCCATCGCGTAAGCTCACCCTCAATTCCCGCAGCGCAGGGCTCCGGTGTGTAAACCCTTATAGGCCCCCAAACCCCCAAACTCCAAACCCCAAACCCCAAACCCAAGACCCCCGTAAATTGCTGGGGGCTCAGGATTTCCTGCTTGTTGTTTAAATGGGCCCTTCTGAGATGAGGCCGACGGCGCGGAGATTATCTGTGAGACGCTGAAGTACCAGGCGGTGATCGCCATGCAACGCCTTCAACGGCAAGGGGTCTCTTTTTTTTTTGGGGGGGGGGGGGGGGGGGGGGGGGGGTTGGGGGGGTTGGGGGGGTTTGGGGGTTTGGCCAGATTCCCTTCAACTCAAAAACCGCAGCAAAACCACCCGAAAGTTGAGCCAAGAACCCCTTGTGTCGAGGCCCACTTCGAGGGTTCCATGCGCCTTGGCTTCCGCCACAGGCTCGCGCAGGCGGCATCTGGCACTATGAGCTGTAAGAGGATTTGGTGGTGAGGGGTTAAGGGAGCTTTGCGTTCAGCCCCCTAGTCCACTGGGAAAACATCGTGTTGCTGTAAGGGCGGGGGTAATACTGCAGGGGAGCGGGCTTCCATTTCCCAGGCTGCAAGGCAAGAATTGACGACCAAACAAAAACGCTGATGCAGCCCACTGTCTGAAACATACACATATGAGAAGGGGTGTTTTTGTGTTAGGGTTGTTGTACAGACGTTTGTTTACTTTGGGCTTAGTAAGGCTTTCCAACATGCAGCTACTCCTAGTCCAATCCCCGGCAAAGACGCTGTCTGAACCCCCCCCCCCTGCCGGATTTGGCTGTCTTTGATAATTAGCTGGCGAAGGAGACTCATAGCGGTTTAGGCTTAGGATTCAGGGTTTAGGATTTAGGGTTTCGGGTTTAGGGTGGTGTATCGGCAACTGGTCAGGCAGGACATCTCGCCGGCTGGCGGCTGCGCGACGAGCGGAGGCTTCGCCTGGGCCTGGATTTACAGCAAACTCCAGAAGTGGCATAGTAGAAGAGTAGGTAAATGTAGGTGACCTTTAACCTTTTCGGGTATTATATTCCCTTTAGAATCCCAAAGGTTAACCTTTAGTTCCCCAAGGATACTGGACAAGTAGGTTGGGACATGGTTTGGTTAGAGCTGGGAGTTTTTTTAGTACACCTTTGGGGTATGGGGACAAGGATGTTCCAACTTGTTGGAGCTTACTGTAGTATTCAAGCCCCCCTACAAAAGCCCCGAAAATTCCAGGTCATATCTGTACCCGCAAGCATACTGCAAGCAAGGTTCACGAGTGGCCACTGGTGAAGCTAGAAAGGAAGCTATCGTTACGTCGGGTGCCTACCATAACCCCATGTATCACCAGCCCTGAGCCTGCAAGTGGGGGGAAGGGATGTCCCTGAACCCTGAACCCTAAGCCCCCAACCTTCAGCCTCCCAAACCGCCCTCACCCTATCGCTGCTGACCAGGTCCCTCCCCCGCTTGGAGAAGGACATGCAGGACGTTGAGGGTTGAGGCATGATGGCCCCCTGGGGGGGCAACAGAGGCGCAAAAGAGCCCCCCGCAATGCTGGGCTTGGGGCGGGGGTCTGAGCCTGAAGAACCCTAAACTCCAAATCCCTTCCCCTGCTTCAAAGCAGTCGGGTCCTTTCATAGACACCATCTTTTGAGGGAGTTGGGGGGGCTGGCAGATCCCTCTGAAAGGAGCGCCAATCCAGAGCGGCAGAGCGCAACGCCACCGACTTCATGCGCTTCGTGTCCCTGCCCGGCGCTCCTGACATCTTTTTTTTTTTTTTTTTGGGGGGGGGGGGGGGGGGCTCGGTTTCAGGGCGCATCTTTGAAGGCTGTTTTGGAGGGAGGGGTGGCTCTGTCTGTCTGTGTGTGTGCTCGTGAGCACATGAAACCCTGCATACGAGAGTTTTGGGTCGAAGCTCTACGAGTTGGAATTTTCAGTCACCATGAAGCCCTCCCAGAAGACGAATCACATGAAGTTGACTGTCCAGTGCCGTTTATTGTTTCGAACTCATCTAGAGGATGCCTGAGAGCAAAGCTGAGCCTATGTCCAAGTAAGCATCTGCCAGGCGCGAAGCCTTCTGAGGAAAGCTGAGTTCCGCCGGTGTCTCACCAGTTTTCCTAGGTCGCCGCAAGGCGTGTCCTGCTGGTCCTGCTGGTATTACCGCTGATTCCTGAGCACCTACAGCTCAAAACCGAAGGCCTCAGCCCTGTGTTTGGATGCTTTGTCACTTTTCAAGTCAAGTGCAGCAGGCCCTGGCGACGGCTCAGAATTCAGTTGGGGCCCAAAGTCAGCAGCCCAGCATGACGAATTCATGCATCGCCTGCAAGACACAAAAAACGCAGCTGAGCGATCCATCGGGAGACTTTGGGCGGGCTTTGAGTTGAGGGCTCAAAGTATACATGTAAGGGGGAAGAGGCGCTGGGGTCCAGACGCATGGGATCCAAGTCGCGCCCTGCGGGGCGGCCGGGGGGGGGGGGGGGGGGGGAAGGTGAATGGAAAGTATAGGGTGGTTCTTTTCCTCATTTGTGAAAGAAGAAGAAAAAGAAGGGAATAAGAAGAAGACAGCGCGTTGGGAGGGCGGACTGCTTGCCCTTTTACACCCCCGGAAAGACTTGAGCGGAAGACTTGCTTTGGCGCGTCTATGCAGGATCACGGACCTAACTCTTTTCGTTTGGCTGATCCGGGGCATGGCTGAGGATGGGTTGTACTGCCCCCTGAGCGCCATGGTGCAGATCTCGGAAATGCTTAATTACTCGGCTGGGTTTGGGGTATTCGGGTAACAAGTCCCAAGCCTGGTGGAGCGTGCGTTGCTTGCTCGAGGTCGTGCCACTCACCGTTCATCAAGCAGCTCCCTGGCGGCCTTTGACTGTGGGCTGTCTCATTCTGGTCTGCAATATTGGTTTGCGTACGGATGACTTCATCGGAAGGAGTTTTGTAGGGGTGCTTTGGAGTCAAGTTGTTTGAAGCAACAACTTCACAACGATGAGGTGCGCAGCCACATGAGCATCAAGGCGCATTGCCAATTCGTCTACTGAACCTATATTGTGCGGTCGATTTTGCGCGTCATTCCTTGCATTCGCTCTCTGAGCTGGGTGCTCGACCGCAGGACTTCGTCTTGTGCAAAAAAAGCATGGAATGGAAGGCCAAGGTGGGCAGGGGGCGGAGGGTGGGCGGTTTTCCTACAGAATTGGCTCAAATGGCTTAATTTACTCTTCAGAAACTTCAGAAACAGAAATGTGAGTAGCTTAGCTATTTGCAGCAAGGTTTACAGGCGCTTCTGTAGTGAGATGAGTTGGGTCAGAGGCTTCGTTATGCGCTAGATTAGGTCGAGGGCGGGGGCGCGCGGGGTTGTTGAATGTATGGACATAAACGCACTGCTTAGATTGAAAAGACTCGCCTTCCTTCCCCTCCACCCTCCCCCGCTGCACTACATGAGGGTGTATAAGTCGAATGAAATATTTTCTGAGGTGGGGCGGGGATTAATAGACTGCATCGATCAGCACGAGACAGGGGTCCATGCCCAACGCGTTCAATCTGCGAAGGTTTTTCGGATGCTGCCCCACTTCCTGCTTCCTTCCCTTCTTGAGACACGCGAGCACGCATACACACACACACACACACGCGCGCACACGCACACACACACACGCACACACACACACACACACACACACCCCCACACGCACACGCACACGCACACGCACACGCACACGCACACGCACACGCCCACGCCCACGCCCACGCCCACGCCCACGCGCACGCGCACGCGCACGCGCACGCGCACGCGCACGCGCACACGCACGCGCACACGCACACGCACACGCACACGCACACGCACACGCACACGCACACGCACACGCACACGCACACGCACACGCACACGCACACGCACACGCACACGCACACGCACACGCACACGCCCACGCCCACGCCCACGCCCACGCCCACGCCCACGCCCACGCCCACGCCCACGCCCACGCCCACGCCCACGCCCACGCCCACACCCACCCACACCCACACCCACACCCACACCCACACCCACACCCACACCCACACCCACACCCACACCCACACGACCACCACAAAAACACACCCCAACACAACACGCACACACGCCACACACGACCCCCAACGCACACACACACACCACAACACACACCACACAACACCCCACACACACACACGCACGCACGCACGCACGCCACGCACGCAGCAGCACGCACGCACTGCACGCAGCACGCACGCCGCACGCAGACGCACGCCACACGCCCGCACACGCCACGCCAACACGCAGCACACCACACCTACACACCACACCCACACACACCCACACACACCCACACACACCCACACACACCCACACACACCCACACCCCCACACCCCCACACCCCCACACCCCCACACCCCCACACCCACACCCACACCCACACCCACACCCACACCCACACCCACACCCACACCCCCACCCCCAACCACCACACACCCACAACACCCAGCACACCCAACAACCACACACCACACACCCACACACCCACACACCAACACACCAACACGCCAAACACACCAACACACCCACCAACACACCAACACACCCACACACCCACACACCAACACACACCAACACACTGCCAACACACCCACACACCCACACACCCACACACCCACACACCCACACACCCACACACCCACACACCCACACACCCACACACCCACACACCCACCCACCCACACACCCACACACCCACACACCCACACACCCACACACCCACACACCCACACACCCACACACCCACACACCCACACACCCACACACCCACACACCCACACACCCACACACCCACACACCCACACACCCACACACCCCCACACCCACACCCACACCCACACCCCCACACCCACGCCCCCCACCCACGCCCACGGCACGCGCACCGGCACGCGAACACGCGCACGCGCCACACGCGCACGCGCGCAACGCACGCGGGCACGCGCACGCGCACGCGCACGCGCACGTCGCACGCGCGACGCGCACGCGAGCGGCACGCGCACGGCACACGCGCAGCCGCACGCGCACGCACCACGCACCCCGCACACGCACACGCACACCACACGCCACGCAACGCACCACGCGCACGCACGCACCCACGCACGCACCCACGCACGCACCCACGCACGCACCCACGCACGCACCCACGCACGCACCCACGCACGCACCCACGCACGCACCCACGCACGCACCCACGCACGTACCCACGCACGCACCCACGCACGCACGCACGCACGCACGCACGCACGCACGCGCGCGCGCGCGCGCACGCACACGCACACGCACACGCACACGCACACGCACACGCACACGCACACGCACACGCACACGCACACGCACACGCACACGCACATACACACGCACACACACACACACACACAGACGCGCCCTTCAGGCCACCCTGCGTACAAGATTTGGTGAAGCTGCCGCTCGCTCAAAGGGCAGACACCTACCGCGCGAGAGAGAGAGAGAGAGAGAGAGAGAGAGAGAGAGAGAGAGAGAGAGAGAAAGCAGGCAAGAAAAAAGATAGACAGGGAGGCTCGGGGCTGCAAACAGACAGACGAAAACCTAGCGGATTCTACAACTCTCAGAGGCAAAGAAAGCGCCGCGGCCGCCAAGTTCTCCACCGCCTGGCTGGACGGCTTGGATCTTAATCCCAGAGTGTGCCTGGAGTGCCCAGCCAGTTGCGAGCAGATACTTAAACTCGAAACACTAGACCCTGACTTCGCATAAGGCCTGCTTAGGCCGTACCTACCCTTTTCGAGGCTGCCTGGGCACAAATGGGCGGGGCCATTGGGGCTCACGGGGCCTCTCTCGGCTGAAGGCTTGCTTGGCTTCGGGATTCTGAATGATTCTTGATGGTGGGAATGGAGGGCGACAGCCTTAAACCCTAAAAGGCATTCGTTTTGGTGTTGGCCTGTGAAAGGGTTGGACGTCGATAAAAGATGTGCTCTCGCTTGACACGCCGTCCCCCGCACTCCTGGGTGTGTAGGGGTCTTAGCGTGTACCTGGAGCGCCCAGCTCCGAAACTCTAAGCCAAGACAAAGCCGTCCATGCAGCAGGCGACCCGATTTAGTTTCCGCGTGTAATTACGTGGAGCGCCCAGCCCTTTAAACCCCAACACCTAAACTTAGGCCAGGAAAAGGCCGCGCAAGGCGACGTCCTGAGAGTGTGCGCGTCCCTGGAGCGCCTAGCCCCAGAGGGCCTCTGGAGTACCCAGCCCCAGTTGGAAGCACACACTCGAGACTGACTACGTGCCCGGCGATCTAATTGCCCGTCTCTTGTAGCGAATGATCAGAGGAATCGGAGGCGCGTCGTCTTCGACCTGTTCTCAAATTTGCAATGGGTAAGATCCACAGTCTGAATTTTGCGTCACGCAGCAAGGGACGAAGCCAGGAAACCCACTGCAGAGATTCGGGTCTAGTTCAGATTAAAAAAGGGGGAACGGATGGGAACCCCTACCTTATAGGGGACCACGGCGTGGGCGCCTCCAAGATCTCCATGTTGCTGTCGTTGCCCGTGAGCAAGCGTGCCGTCTTGCGAAAGGAGCGCAGTGCGTATGGTTCTTGAGCCTTTATTGAATCTGTGACGGCCGGTCTTCGCCAGTTTTGCAGCCAATTCAAGATGAAAAGTCCGTTTCGCGTGGGTCACTCGCGCCTCTCCACTCTGAACAAAAGGTTCGGGGATTGTAGGTGCAGCGTGCAACATTGCAGGTATTAGTATTGTGCAACTTGCCACTGCTCACTCAGTAGTGGTATCATGATGCGTATCACACTCCTGTTCTCAACAGTACTCTTAATCATCGTTCTTTTTATGATAACCAGGAATGAGGGAGGGGGCCCCGTCTGAAGGCGCGACGCGTTGCACTTTGGCAGGTGATGACGTGCCTTCTGGCCCTTCTCCAGGTGCTGGTAGACCACATTTACCATTTCCAAGAAGCTTTTTGTAAATGGAGAACAAATCCAGCAGAATCAGCATCGAAGTCATACTTACTTTGCGATCAGGACGGGCGTGTGTTTTGCATTGGCGGGCAGCGGCGTTTGATTTGCA